CTTTTCTATTAGGAAAGTAGGAAAGTAACAGTTTGGATTAAATTTTTTGATACTAGATTGGGAGAGTGTTTACGTTGATTGTTTTCTAGGGCCAAATAAATGCGATCATTTTACTGAGAAATCCAATCAATATTTCTGTCAATAAAATGTCAATGCTGCTCTGGAGCCCAACCAAAAGCCAAAATTAAAAGTGCTGTACCAAAATTTTAAAATTTAAACTACCTGTACCAAAAGATCTATCAATTGTTCGTACGTATAGTTTCTAGATTATTCAAAGAAGATTTACTTTTGAGGATATACTGGCATGTTGAGAATTATTATTTTTGAACAGAAGGAACCTAGCATTTGAGTCAAATTTAGAGACCACAATCTCTGGATGCTGTCTTATGAATTGAAAGAAACATTTACTCACAAATTATGGATGAAAATGTTCTTATTCACATGAAGATGATAGCAAAGAATGTTATTTCAACAAAGCCGCAAAGCCGCTGAAACCCTTTAGGCAATAAAGAATGCTTCTTCAAAATCGTGAAAATTTTTGACAATATACTGACAATAACTGCAGGAACTTTGATATAATTTTCTCTTGAGATATGTTTACTTGATAACCCGATTTCTCGTTAGCAATTTCTTTCCAGCAAAAATCTTTCAACAAATCATTCAAGAATATTTGTTCAAACAAGACGTTCTCATAACATTTGTTGGAAAAAGAAATTGTAAAACAATTTTTCAGAGTGAGGTTTTCATGTGTTTGATAAACCGTGTGCCTGTCAGAGGATCATTTTTTGAAAAAAAAAAAAGTCCAGTAGAAGTCTATATCATGATATATTGATCGGAGTAACAGCTCTGGGAAGTGCAGTGTGAGTCGCCCCTTTTATTTTTTTGCCACATGCTTTTTGCACTGTATTCCCGTCTTTCCCCTCTTCACCTTTTGTTGTGCAGAAGTCTTACTTCCACCAACGGTTTATAAATGAAGCAGGCTTGACCATAGTGTATTCAAAAGCGTGAAGCGTGCTTTGCAGAAAGTCTAGGGAGAGGAAGAGAGAAAAAAAACATCTGGAAAGCTTTTCCCTGCGCTCAATTTTTTATACTCTTGATCATGAGACGAGGGGTTCCAGCAGAAGCTGGGTTAGCAAAAGATGGCCCACTCCATTCAATACATGGCTCTGAAGGAATATTTTCATCCTGAAATGTTTCATCCCCTCTTTTGAAATGCACTTTCTTCACGGTAAGAAGTAAGATTTTTTTTCTTTATTGTCAGGAGCTCTGATGTGTAAAAATCTACATTCCAATAAACTTTTTTCTTTAAATTTGAAAGACAGGAATCCTTGCGCTGAAGATTTGGTGGGTGTTGATGAGAATTTTCTTTTTATATTCTTTTCTATGTATAGCTCTGCTTTCTGGGACTCTGAAAACTATCCAGAAGGCGTCTTGCGATGGGCAATTGCTGGAAATAGATTGTCCAGCGAACACGTCGATATCGATCCAATTTGCCCAGTATGGACGTCATTCCGTGTCCCCTGACACCGGTGGAGGACCGATTCTTTGTCCACCCGGGAGAGCCTCTAGCACTCCTACACTGTCACCAGACGTCATGGTCAAATACAATGTCACCTGCTTTGCCAGGAAGGCTTTACAGGTTTGTGGAATTTATTTTTGCCAATATTTTTTTTTTCATTTGAAATCTTATATTAATTCTCATCAAAGATTTTCTCTAAATTGTTTAATCAACTAAACTTTATCTGGGAGCAGGCTGAACACCTTGTGCTTTAATTCGGGTTTATTTATTGATTTATGCTGCAATTATTATTGTTGATATTTTGTTTTTGTTATCAGGGAAGGGAAGAAAGTGTGTGTGTAAGCGTCAGTTTTGCGGTTTCAGTTTCTGGGATGTACATTATTTTATTTTATTTTAATTTCCATGTACAGATTGTTTCCCTTTTTCCCATTCTGATGTGAAGAATATGTTTGGGTGAATATGGGTGGGGATGAGAGGAGGGGGTTTTTATGTGAGGACATTGCTTGAACCTTATTGTAAATGCTAAAAAGTGTAAAAAAGAAAAAAAGAAAAGCTAGCTGCTAAATTCAATTCATTTCTGATTAAATTTCTGATTAAAAATGTTTCCCTTCTTTGTCAAAATCCCTTGAATTTAAGATGGATTATTTTTCTGTCCAAATTTCCTTGATAAATTGTAGTTGAATCTGTTGGTCAGGTACAAAAGTTAGCAGGAATGCTTGCATCAAATTCACTTGAATGTGAGATGCAGTATTCTTTGTCAAAATTTGTTTGAGAAAAATTGTAGCTGCATAAGAGTTTTTTGGTTAGGCAAAAATACCAGGAAAGCTTACTGTGTCAATTTAACTTGAACTGGAGATGCATTTTTTTCAAAATTTACTTGAGCAAATGTGGTTGCATCTGTTGATCAGGCCAAAACAAAAAGCAGGAAAGCTCATTTAAAATTCCCTTAAATGTTAGATTAATTATTTTTTGTGGAAATTTACTTGAGAAAATGTGGTCGCATCTGTTTATCGGGCCAGAAATATCAGGAAAGCTTTGATTAACTGAAACACGAGATCAACTGTGGGGTTTGGTTGACAGGAAGTAAAGGTCCTTATTGACCATCACAATCTTAAGAATTGGCAAAAATGAAATAAATCGAACAATCCACAAGCTTTTTAGTTAACAACAATTAGAATCAGAAGTGGCCTGTTTGTTGAAAGTTTTTGGAGAGATTAATCTGGGACCTGACATTTTTTACATGGCGTTGAATAAGAAAATATTTGTGATTCTAAATAAATTGAACGTAAAATACCAATACTCAACTATAATTCGTCAATTTTTCCAAAGCTTTAAGATGCGAAGGTGCGAGTTTTCTGCAAACTCGCGTTATATCGGAACAAATACGACATTTTATTTTAAATCAGCTTTTTTGTTTGACCAGCAAAGAAAACTGAAATGTTTGCAGCATCCTGTTGTTGACAGAACCGTGTTCGCCAACTTTATGGCGTGTTTCTCTGCGAACTTTCGCATTCCAGATTCCGAAACTTGAAGCCGTTTTATCTCGAAGTGTCCAAGTTGACGGAGAAACATCTTGAAACCAAATTCTGTTCACACCTTGAATATTGGGCCACAACAAAAGAATTACATCTTGCAATAATAATTGTATCGGCTTTATTTTATAAATGTTCAGCAGAAGCGAATTTTTCTGTTATTTCACAACGCAGTTTATGCTGCACATTTTTTTTTCGAGAATTTCCCGGGAACGAAGTTTGTTGTGAAAAGTTCTGTCATGTCATGTCTGGTTATAAGGCGTCTTTATGAAAGTGTGCCTTGAGTTTCTGGCAAAACTTGATGGAAGAAATCAAGACGTTCGTTTTTAAGTTCACTCGGCACCTCTTGAAATTCCGTCGCAAAGGATTATGTCTTGTCATATACTTCCTGAAACTTCCAGTTTCCGATTTTAATTTATCAAAAATATTCACGAGCTTTGCTTGAGCTGTTGGAGATGGGATTCCAGCAGAGGTGTCATTTTAAAAATTGTGTTTTTTTGGTAGATTCAAATTTTATTCCCAACTCGGCAGCTTCAACCAGCTTGAAGCGGAGGAAATATTGAGCATTAAATTGAGGGCTAATCGATTGGAGTTCTGAGAATACTATGACCGATGTGTTGCTTTCAAAAATTATAGCTTTTATTCAAAAATCTTGTTCTGGTCCACCATTTTTTAAAATTATTCTTCAACATAAATACAGTATGTACTCACGTTCGCTGCACGCATTTTTTTTTTTTTAATTGGGATTGAAAATTAGAATGTGCTTAAAACTGTAATATTAAAATTGTCCTTCAAATTTTCTAAAAAATCTCTGAGTGCATCATCACCTTACAGATAAGTTGAAAAATAGAAGCAAATTATATGCAGGTGAATTTTAATTTCGATTTAGTATAAATTGATACTCATAGCTCTTGTATTTCTGGAAGTGCCAAAATTCGCGACCGAAAGCAGGAATGCGCATCTTGTTTTTTTCTGAATACGATTTTTGAGAAAAAAAACCCTTCTTTCTTGTCACGGGTTTGCAGAAATCCCATCAAGAAACTGACTGAAAATGTAATTTTGGCAATAACTTTACCACAGTCTGCTGCGAACTCTTTTTTTTTCATATCCTTCTGTTACAAAAGGATGCCCAAGAGTCAAGACGCAATTTAATGTGGGGCAAAATTTTCAAAAAAAATTACCATTTTTCGACTGGTCAAAATTTTCATAACTTCGCCTTTTACGGGAGAATGTCTCAATTTAACCGCGTGCTTCGTTCTGGGCAGGGTTTACTTTTTTCTTCCGCATCAATATTTCCTTGTGTCCTGGTGGGTTCGTTAATTGGGTTCATGATTATTCAGCCCACGTTTCCCGACGTGCACGGATCTGGTCTGTGTTGTTGCGAGAAGAGCCAGCAGTCGATTACACGTCCTGATGGCCGCCGGGCATCAGTCACAATCACGAGTCTAATTGGTCTTACACTGCCGGGAACCGAACCCAGATATACGACCCAAAACCCCCAACACGAAATTTTCCCAACACTTGTGTGAGGAAACGTGTAGTACGTCAAATCAATTTTCTCAAGATAATGTTTGTACAGGGTTGGACTAAAAAATAAAGCAAAAAGCGCAATGGATTGAGTGTTCCCTCAAAATGAATGAACCAGCATTTGGAGTAATATATTTTTTAAAAACTTGTTCATTTTTAAATGAACGTTGTTGGAAATCTTGGAGAATAACACAAGGCACATTTCCATCCTCTGGAGATCCTCCCAGATGTAGAAAATATATAGGTTATTGATATTCTTTCCTCATTTCAGTATTGTAGAAGTTGACAAAAATGTTTACATACAATGTGGATTGGCTGGCAGCAAAAATTAAATCCAATTTGGATTGGTTTGCAATACCAATTTTTTTTTCTCCCAGGTCATCTTTGACAGGAAAAGATCATGAATCTGGATTGAAATATATTTTAAGCTTTATAGACCATAGCCAGAGGTTTTCAACAAAGGGTTCAGATTTTGGTTCTGAACTTCTGTTTGTTTGTTCTGGGGTTCCGAGTTCACAGTAACGTGAATGTTTCCCAAAAGTACACTTCATTGCAGTGAATCTTCTACAAAACTTGAAATTTGAAATGTTTTCAAATTTCAAAACATAAGCCTTCTTCCGTACTCATTTTTCTGCCCTTGAACAGGTTTCAAAGTTGTTATTTTTTTTAGGGTGAATCAGGAAAATTCTTGATTTTCATGTGCCAAACAAGATGATAAACAGAACTTGGATGAAAATAACAGCCCACGAAAGACATCAATTGTTTTGTTCCTTTCGGAATTTTGCACTACATATTATTTTTAATTCAATGCATTTCACGTAGCTGGAGAAGTTCAATATTGCATTTTTCAAACTTCAACCGCAAGGAAAACTTCGAAAGTATTGACTCGAAAGTTTGAAGATAATTGTGAATAACAGCGGGAAACGATGTTGTGAAAAATTTTTGAAAGCCTTATATATTTATCAGATATGCTCAAGACATTATAATGAAATTAAAGTGCTGGGAAATTTCCTGTACAATATTCATCAAGTGACTTATGTCCGTTTCTCCATGTCACACGTGTCGAATCCATACCTTTTGTCGTGAAAAGTTGGAGCTTTTTTTTTCAAAGTGAGAATGGAATGATTTGAAATTTCGCAAGATTCAGGTTAGAAAAAAGTGCAGCATTTTTTTCGCAAATTGAGTTTCACGCAACGTGGAATATGTCATACATCATGAACTTCAGAAGTACATAGAAACATGCCATTCAACGCCCACCCTTGACTCCTACTTTTGTGGATTGAATCTTCATTCATGGCTCATAAATTATTACTTATCTGTAGTTTTTCTGTGATCTGTTTGAAATTTCAGTCACACCGAATACTGCATTTCTATCGATTTCTCTGTCATGTTGATGATGTGTATTCCTCAGGGTTTTTTGTGCTCAGTGTTTTATTTTCTTTACAAACAGTACTTTATTTTCTCTAAAATTATATATGAAATAATTTTTTCTCAACGAATGAAATTCGTATCTTTTTTATCTGAAATACTTTTTTTTTGTACATCTTGGACATTGATGAATAAACTTCTCTTTCCGCAGTGGATTATCAGCTTCAATTTTATCTATAGATTTAGTAAAACTCAATTCCTGCTTTGAGACACGAAATTCAAGATATACAGTATTTTATTAGGAAACCTTGTAAGCTATATGCTTCAAGAAATGTCGCTTGTCTTGTCAACACTTGTCATCTCCGAAGAATGGAGCCCATTGGTAGACTTACGTCGCATGAAAACGTATAAATTAATATGATCTGGTCAAGTGACTTAATCAGAGTTTGCTTTTTCGCTATTGTTTGGAATTTAATTAAGTTATCTTGGCATTTCCGAAAAAAAATTCTTTCTGAATGTCGCATGAATTTTGAGAACGTTTTTTTTTTGCGCGAAAAATTCGCCCTCCAAAAAAAAGATGTCCTCCTTTATTTGTTTGTTCTTTTAATCTGGCGGTTGACTCAGCTGTTGTCTGAGATATATAAAAAAAACTGGTGATTCATGCATAGTTTTTTTGTTCTGTTTGCATATTCTCCATATAGACCGTCGTTGACAAGTGTCAAAAAGAAAAGTCGTGTCAAGTGTACACGACGACGACGTCTTTCGGAGAGGACCCGTGCCCTGACGTGCGCAAGTACCTAGAAGTCGCCTACAAGTGCGGACCCAGTAAGTACTAAAACTGATTTTTTTCTTCTTCTAAGATTGTCATCAACTCGTACTATACCACAGCCGTGTTTCCGACACATGTCTTGATCATGATAGCTTTTTTCTCTTTTCATGAAACTACCGTGTATATAGAGACTGTAGACTGTAGACTCTTTTGGCAGTTTTTTGATGCGAAGGAAATGCCGTGGAAAATCAGAATTTTGGCGGAGATTTTATTCAGGATCCATGAAGGCATTTTCGTTTTCTTTCAGACATGAGAAAGGAATATAGTCTTGAATATTTTATGAATGGTTTTAATATTCTCAGATGGCTTTCATTGTCTGTTTTCCTCATGTAAGACGTCATTCATGTAAGTTGTCCATTTCTGCAATGTTTGCCAATTCTACACTTTTTTGTCAAGCTGAAAAAAATGTTTAAAAATTTGTAAGCCAAATTTTCGGAAATCAAGACTAGAATAAATATGTTCGAGAGTCTTGTGACCCGCAAAAAAGAGAAAACCAGTGCAGGTTTTGAAAAAAAAAAACAACTTGAAGACAAATTAATTCAGCTTTTTATAAAAAATATGCGAAGTTGAAATGCCTGCTTGAAGAAACTAGCGTCATCTCTTTATAAAAAAAAACCTTGATGAATAATTCGCCTTCTTCGTGTGTTCCAGGTATTTTCCAGAACAAGGTTCTCTGCAAAGACGAGAGAATGACCTTGAGTTGCCCCGCAAACTTCCGACTCGTCATATATTCTGCCGAGTTTGGACGGACTATTGCCGGTGATTTGCGATGCCCACAAACCCGTGGGGTTCCTAGAGAAGGCAAGTTACGCAATTCTGCTTCAATCAAATTTTTTCATGCATTAAAAATGATGCGTGGAGAGCCTTGGGTACGCATACTTACGGCAATACCTGGAAAAATTAAAGCTTCCGTCTTATGGCTTACATACAGGGATTTCAATCAAAATCCAAAAAGATTTTTTATTTTATTTTTTAAATTACAAAGATTTGCCTTGCCATTTCATCGTGCAATTTTTTTTTATCAATCAATGGTTTTTGGACCACATGATTAAACTTTTCATGATTACAAGCACAGCAAAGACGAAGAAAAATCAGATTTTGCAACTCATTACTATGACCTTTTTTCCTTTCGGGCTTAAATGTTGACATAAAAAATAGCTTTGTTCTTTTTTTCAAGTTCTAAATTGAATTACGAGGCGGGATAATTTCGTAATTTATCGATTGAGAACTAAGGATGTGCCAAAAATGAGTGACACTCCTGATCTGATCAATAAATCGCGTGTTCGACGTCTGTTCAGTGGAATTCTAAATAGAGAGTATTTTTATTCCAATTTTTGAATATTATAAAGAAATCTGGCATTTGCGTGGAGTGAGAATTCATAGAAAATCTCGTCTTTGTACTTGATGCGATGTCTTGAAACTTTCTACTCTGAGGATGTGTTCTTCGTTCTTTGTGCAAAAGAAAGTTCGGATTTGCGTGGATGAGAGAGAATCTGGGTGCAAAGTTCAGTACAGTATGCGTTCGATGAGACTTTCTAGGTGGGAAATGAAGTGTACTATATATGTGAAGTAGAATAATCCTTCTTCTGAGTGACAGGCATTATTTAAAATGTGACATCAGCGAATCTTTGATGCATCGTTTATTTTATGCTGAATTTTTAAATTTTAATCCGTACGCTTTTTCTTTCCGATTTCTCGTCTTTTTTTTTTGAGTGAAATACAATGTTTTACTCTTGATTTTTCGAAAGGCAGAAAAAAATCGTAAAGGGACGTTATTTGGGCAATTATTCTATTGAGAATATTTCTTGTACGTCTCGATTCTTCCAAGTTTATTCGCCTCATCCAATGACGTAAAAAATAAAAAATAAAATGTTTTGTACCGTATATTGAGCTTGTCAGAAGCAGACTAACTGACTCAGCACAGCGATCAAATTGAGTGTTTGATTCTATATCGAGACCGAATTAAAAGTTTCTTCGGGAATACACTTCGGTCCGCTTCATTGCAGCTCTATAAATATACTGTATATATATATATACATTATATTTATACGAGTGTTCTAACAAAAGTTCTTGGAATATAAATGAAAATGGCAGATAATCGAGCAGAAAAAAAATGTCTTTAGGGAACCCATATTCTTTGGCACACACAAAAAATCAGCCCTTTTTGACAATTTTTTTAAATGCTTTGCAAAATTCACCCTGGCAGATTTTTGCACTCCACTCAACAGATGTGGCGCCCTTCTGTTGATGAAAATGGCGGAATAGCCTTGGAAGACCGGGAGGCAACCCTTAAAATTAATGCCACATTGATTTCAAGAATTCTGATGGAAAAGCTGGGCTAAAAAAATAATCTTTGAGTGGAGAGCAAAATTCTGCCAGGGTGAATTTTGCAAAACATTAAAAAAATGTGTCAAACAGGGCTGATTTTTTGTGTGTGCCAAAGAATATGTTTTCCCTGAAGAACAACTTTTTTTCAGCTCGATTATACGCCATTTTCATTTTTATTCCGAGAACTTTTGTTAGAACCCTCGTATATATATACCATAATGAGATAGTGAAGTGATGATGAAGTTTTCGTCGACAGATTGTCGGGCAAGTTTTGCGACGGAGTCCGTGATGCAGAATTGTCACGGCCGAAGAAGGTGTCTCTTGTCTGCGGATGTTGGCACTTTTGGGTCCCCCTGCAACCCGAAGTCCCACGTTTACCTGAAGGTCATTTATACTTGCGGTGAGGATTCTTTTCCGATTAAATTTGCAATCTCCCTTTTGCACTGCCTGAATTATGGAAAATATGGAGAAATACAGCGAGTCAATGCATAACAAAAATAAAGCAGACAACCGAAATGTCGTACTGTATGACTCACGTAATGGAGTTGTTTCACGTAATAACATTTTTCAACCCAAAAATGGTCCCAATTTCAACATTCTGAACTAGAGCCTCGAATTGGTTTCCAAAAATTTAGGAAAATAGGAAAAGAAGGGTTTTCTAATATTGGATCTTCTTGTCCTTGAAATTTGTGAAATTGAAAAATGCAGGAACGTGTTTTGAAGAAAGGATTAAAATATTCCAATGCAAGTTTAACAATATGTCGACTAATGAACGTTCCTCTGGAACAAATTGTGTTTGTCAGTCAAAGCCCTCGTGTATACAGCAAAAAAATTGGCAATCCATTCAAGACACTACTCACGAAGATTCCTCATAAAACCTTGTAAAAGTGTGCATTTCAGCAAATTTTCGTAAATATTCTGATTTTAATGTTGGTTAGTGCAAAATTGCAGCAACTCGAAAAATGCTTAAACCGTGAGAAAGATAGAAAAAAATGCTTGCTAAGGTTCGGAATAAGTAAAATAGCATTTTATTATCTTTTGTATAACGAATGTTCGCATTGATTCGAGAAACATTTCAAGTGTTACCTCAAATCTTGCAGAAAACCCCAAGCAAAAAGTCTTGGGGCTAAAGGAAAAAAGACTTGAATTTTCTTGTCTCTTCTAAAATTTCGTGCGACGCAAAAACAATGTCATTATAGTGAGACTCACTTTTTTATTTTATTTTCAGCAATCCCAATTTTTGCGCGCGAATAAAATTATCACACCTTCATTGTACTGTATTATTTTTTTTCGCAGTTCCAAGAGAAGTGCTGAAAGAGCCATTTCAACACCGTCTGGAAGCTGATGAAGACGGCTACTCAGGCACTGATGAAACCGGTTTCAAATCATCAGTAATTGATCCGTCGAATCAGTCAAACAAAACGGCAGAGACGAGTTACGACGTTGACGAAGTCAAGGGTTCTGTCACCGACTGGAAGGCAACTTCCAAATCATCGACAAGCCCAGAAAACGAAGACACTGGTGAGTTTTATAATTGCATTCTTCGCTTTGAAAGTCAAATATTTTTTTGTACCGCGTTTACTCAAATATATAAAGCACATTTCTGACACCGAATCTCAATTCAGAAAATACTTGGTAGCTTTTGGGTTCGGATGCAAAATTATATTTCACCCATTTTGAATTATTGATGCGTAATCAACGCAATGACTTATTTCAATCTTCGAAGTGAATTGGCAATCGCACAAATTACTTCAAATATTCATGATTTCTGTATAGAAGGAAAACTAAATTAACAAGGCCCTGAAATAATTTGAAAATAAATCCCTCGCCCTTCGAGATGCTTCATAATTTAAAAATTAATGCGTTTTTGGTCAAAACTGTCATATTGTGAAGTAAATCGAAATTAATTTTCAGATAAATCGGAAACCTGCTTTTCAATCGAAAGGGCTGATAAATTAAGTAACATTTTAAGAAGAGATGTAATCGAACATATTTGCGTGGATGCGGTAATTGAGATCCTCTGAATCACGTCTGGAAAAAAGTAGAAGCATTGTTTTAGCAAATTTTCCAAATTTTTGCATGAGCATGAGGTATTTTGGAGTCTCTTATTTACACTTTTCTTTCGGAATTATTTTTTATTAACCTCCACATATACCAGACAATCGTGACTCGGAAATTGCATGCCATTTCTACACGGATGCATTTCGCACGTGATTCAATTACGCCATATTTCTTTAATGCGAAATAATTCCGAATTTATTCCGACGCACGCGATTTCATGCGCACTTATACAATCCAATTTTTACAAACCAAGAAGAAAGACTCTTTCCTTTTTACACAATTGCATCCGAGTGCTTCACTAACTCCTGATAAAGACAAACGCTTGGGTTTAATGTTGTTGAACGAGACCCGGGGTCTGTTTGTTTTAATGACGTCCGAAGGTTATATTCGGAAGGCAAAGAGGTATTTTTCGGGGTACCGGGTCGAGGGACATTAAGATACCCCGGGGTTCCCGTCCTTTTATTTATCTCAATATGTCTGTCAAGCTGTTTTCTCTGGTTGGCGTTTCCGTCATTCACATTCAGCTGACTGTAGGCACGAAAAATGGGCTTTTGTGGCATTACAGCAGTGGATTATACTGGGGGAATGGGTGCTAGTTAAAAATGATTGCATTCCACGTATTTCTTTTGTTGATGACTTTTTGCATTGTTGAGGGAAACTAAGAAAACATAGGCTGGCTCCAAATATGCTGAACCGATTTTCTAAAATTGCTGAATATTTCGAAAATTATCACAGCTGTGAATATGAGTTATTCTGAAAATATGAAATGACAATTGTTGCTTGAATTAAATGCGATTTTTTTGTCCAACGAAAATTTGCTTCCAATTCCCCTCCGAATCACCGATCAAACTGCTTTGAAATTCTTCCAAAATTGACTATAAATCCCAAATATTTCGGAAAAGGTGCATGAAAAGTTTCACCAATATCGTAAACGCGTTGATGATAGGCCGCATTCTCGCAGTTCTCGCGGCCTATGCACGGAAATATATCTGCAATATAGTCCGCAGCGGATTTTTTCGAAAAAGAATTTTGTTTAAAAGAAAAGTTCGGCCTTGAATCGAATACAGTGTGAAGATATATAGTCGTGTTTCACCTCGTAGGATTCCTCGTTCCTCCACAATAGACGGATGTTTTTAAACGTGTTTCTTTTCCCCCCTTTTTCAAATTTTTAAAAATGTGAAATAGGTAGCTGAAAACCCAAGGCGACCAATTTTGTGAAGTGACCCGGTTTGTTCGTGTCGCGACCGTTTGTCCCTGGTGTCCTAAGATATATAGAAGAACTCGGGGCAATTTCCGTCGGTTGCCAGGAGCACTAAAAACTTCCTCAGCTGCTGGCTCAAAATGCCAGGCTTTTGTGTGCCCCTGTCTGGGTTCCCTTTCATGCTCTCTCGGCTAGTGCCTAAAGTACCTCGGGGTTAGAAAAAATAAACACATATTTAAGAAAAAACAAAAAAGAACAACAACAAAACCCTGAACTGCCCTGAAGACGGGTTCACCTCGGGTTCACGTTGCACTCGTGCTGGGTGAACAATTTTCAAGAAAACTGAAGAACTGCATTATTTTGAAAACATAATACATTATTGGTCTCCATCCCAATAATGATAAAATATAAAATTCCAAACAATTATTATTCGTCTCAATACCAATAATGATAAAATATAAAATTCCAAACAATTTTATGGAAGTGTAGTATTTTTTATATCATAGGCGGCCAGCGACAGCAGAATTTAACGCGTGTTGGGTCATCGAAATACAGCAGCTAGATTTTCAGCACGCAATTTTTTGTAACGTATACTCATCAACTGACAAAATTACCTGTTGCAAGATGAAAAAAAAAAAGGTTTTCACAGTTTCCAGTTTCCGAGAATAATCAAGTTCCGAGAAAACTTATTCTCGCGGCTTTTTGCAGGAACCTTTCGCCTTTCGTCCGGTACTTGAATAAGCAGACTTTTGGTACTAGCTACTTAGCGGAGAGAAATGGCAAGAATGCTTTGTTGTGACTTCCTATCAGTTCTTGCTGATGTCCGACGCGCTTATTTGTGCGTCAAGGCCAAATATTTGCGCTCGTCAATTATTTATTTGCGGGACCCCGGTTAGATATTTAATTGCTCACGTGGTTTGTTTTCATATAAACAGACTTAATTACGGTTCATTTCAACCCGAATAAGAAACTAATTCGGAAGTTCTGCGAATTTAACGGATGAGCGACACTGTCGTGTACGGTTTGACAGCAGGATTAATTCATTCAGAACACGTGATATTTGTGTTCCATGTGTTCGATTTATAGCTTGTTTGTCTTTTCCCCCGTTGAGATTTCGGTGTTACGTACTGTATATATATAAGCTGAATATAAATTTATGCGAGTTCATTTTTTTGTGTGCAAATAATGTGAGCGGAATTTCTTGGAACAGAACGGATTCCGGAGTTAATCGGGCGAATTTTCGGCAACAGTGAGCAAGGCTTTTTGAGAAGACCCTGCCGAATATATTTTTCCATCTGTTTCACCCCTTTTTCCTCTCTTTTATATCACACAGTATTTACTTTTCCGGGTCTGTTCGAGACTGTGATTAATGGAGTGAAGCCGTGGTTTCTTTTTGAATTTTGCCGACTTTTGCATCGCCGAAGAGTCAGTCGGAGGATTTCCGGAGCATAAGGAATTCTCTTCATTTTTTTTTTGCTTTGCGCAATTTTTTTTCAGATGGACTGAGCGAATACCGTATTTTCAACGACTGTTTTCATACACCTTTCGGAAATATTTGGGATTTCTAGTCAATTTTGGGAGAATTTCAAAGCGGTTTGATCGATGATTTGCAGCGGGATTCTGGTAACTTGATGTTTTATTTTTAAGAAGAAAATAGATTTCAAACCCCAAAAAGAGAGAGAGATACTACAAATGTCACAACAAATGTTTTGCGACATTTTCAAACTGATCGCTAATTTATTTTTCTTGAAAGATTCGGTAAACTCGAAGATACGAGTATTTTGAAATTTTTAAATACTGCATTTCTCTGATTCTTGGATCCACGAAAGTGTTTTTTGAAGAAAGGTGTAACTAAGATTGATTTTTTGAAGAGTAAACTCTCAGGTGAAATAAGTACGAAAGCTGGAGCTCATTTACTCAAGCTATTATAAAATAAAATTTTGAATTTTATTTGACCTGCAAATTTGAAACCTTCTGCGCATATACTTAGATACCCAGTGAGCAAGAAATAGTCCGTTTACATCCAAATATCCCCCAAATCCAGAAAAACTATCCAAAGACAATCCAAATGCCATCCAAAGCATCCTCAAGTTATCAAAATGCAGTCCGCACACATCCAATGAACCTTCAAGGAGAGAAACCTCATTGGATGTGGGCGGACTACAAGTCCGCAGATATCCAAGGAGTCTCTGTTCTGCTGGACACTCCTTGGATATATGCGGACTACAAGTCCGCAGATATCCAAGGAGTCTCCATTCTGCAGGAGACTCCTTGGATATATTCGGACTACAAGTCCGCATATATCCAAGGAATCTCCTCCATGAAGGACACTCCCAGATGTCAACGGTTTTTCTGGAGGAAACAAACATCCCAGGAGTGTCCTTCATGGAGGAAACTCCTGGGATGTCAACGGTTTTTCTGGAGGAAAGAGAAAGGGCTCATCTTGGGCCCTGTCTCTTCCTCCTGTGCCACACAGTCAATCAGGAAAGGGTTGAGTGAGCATCAAAGACACAAAGTCATTTGAAAAGCCCTGGATAAAAAAATCTTCTGGTGATCAGAGAGATTTGATTTCAGCACCACTTGGCCTCTGGTTTGGGAAGTGATGGGTTGTACCTGGGAAAAAGTGAAATGTGTGTCAAATTTGTGTGTTCAAAAAGGTGTGTTCTGAATTTCTAAAAGGTGCAATTGCACTTGACTTCCAACATTTTGAAGCATTCATTTATGTGCAGGAATCACAATTGGGAAAAGGTTTTGGTGAGCAAATCCAGTTATTTGTGTCTGTCAAAATTTTTAATTTTCAGTTTACTTGAGCTCATTGAAATAAAAATTCAGTGTTACCTTGAATAACAAACCCACTGTATAATGAACATCTTGCATAACAAACATTTTTTCAGCAAAAAGCACCCTCACAGAACAAAAAATTTCACATTATGAACATTTGTTAATCACAAAAATTGTTTCAAAATTTTTAAAATTTTTAAAGCTATAAAAAATAGAAAAATAGCAAAAATCATCCACAATATTGATATTTGATATGGAAGAAAAGAATTTCAGTCAATGTAGAACAAAATGCTGTTTTAAATCAGTCACCCCAAAATTGTATAAAAATTCCAGCTAATTAATTCTTTTTGAGGACTATTTTCTTAATCAGGTTGAAATTTATTACAAGAGTGCATCTAAGGGGGTTTTGGTAAAAAAGAACAGTTTTAAATTAGGCTTTTTTAATTTCTAGAGATGGTAAATTGCAGGTTTTAAAAATATTAGTTTCAAGGGTCTTCTGCTCACAGCAAAACATTTCTTGAAAAGGGATTTTTTTGTAAATAACCCCTGCAATTATTAAAATTTTCAACATTGCATCTATAGAGGGGTTATGCTCAAGGCAGAATTTTTTTGAAAATGTGTTTGCTTTGAGCATACTGTAATAGCCCTCTTAAAAACAATAAATGTTGAAATGAATCTGAGGGAATAGGCTTATATGGAGGCCATTTTGACCCTGCAATGCACACTTCCTGAAAAATTGACTTTAAATATAATTTTTTAAAGTTTTTTTTGGGGAAAATCCAGATGAAACTGCAATTTTTAAGACAATTTTCATCTTATTATTTTTAGGAAATCTGAATTGCAGGCTTTTAAAAAATATTCTGTTGCAGTTATGATCACAGGAAAAATCTTTGAAAATGGGGGCTGCTTTGAGCATAACCCATCTTCATTTTAGTATTTTTTTAATGGACATTGCTTTTAGTATAACCTCATGGATTCTTCGTTTTTTTTAACAGGGGTTGCTTTGAGCTTAACCCCAAAGATTTTAGAGTTTTAATTCTAATTCCCTCCAAAGTACATCCACATTTCCTCCAAAACACTTCCAAATTCCCTCCAAAACACATCCATACTCCCTCAAAAACACATCCCAATTCCCTCCAAAATTATTCCCAATTCCCTCCAAAATTATTCCCAATTCCCTCCAATTTGAATCCAAAGTCCCTCCAAAACAAATCCCAATTCCCTCCAAAACAAATCCAAATTCCCTCCAAAAGTGTCCAAGCAAGCTCCAAAAGTATCCCAAGTCCCTCTGAAACTGCTCCAAAACCCCTCCAAAATGGGATCCAAATCTGATCCAAAATTTCTCCAAAATATGTAGTCTGCTGCAGTCCGACTTAGGCAAAAACCTTTGGACTGCTTTTGGAGGATTTTTTGATCAGAATTGGACCCATTTGGGAGGGGTTTTGGATATATCTGGACAACTTCTTGCTCACTGGGGATGTTAGATGATGCAAATAGTAATGGTTTAGTATTGCCCCAAGCAAGAACAGCTAGTAATGTACTTGAGTCTACAAGATCACAATTATCGTGACAAAATTGAGTGATTACAATCTTTTCTCTGCCTGGACATTATAGAGTCCCTGAAAGATCCCAAATAGCTGTGTTAAAATTTGTTACTGTGTACTTGTGACACTCAGACTGGGAAAAATTCACAGTCTACTGAACTTAACTCTCACCTTACAGCTTTTGAATTCATCGCCGTTATGCAGAGTTTTATCATTATATTATTGATACTGATACTGTTGACAAAAAAAAACTGGTGGGATTTTGGCTCTACTCTATTGGTAGATCTTTTTTGCTTGATTTAATTTTATTAGGTCTTTTCGACGTTAGTTTAACTGTTTTACTTCTTTCCAGAATGAAGCATTGGCTTAAAATATAAAATTTTTACTTTACAGGAATTCTCAGAAGATAAAGAATGCTGACGAAGGGTAAGACTTTGAAACCGTTTCACAACTTCAGAAAAATAATTGCGAAAACAGCGCATTTCTTTCCGACATTCGATAATCACAATCATCCGATAAGACCATATGGTTTCATGAACAAGAATGCTGATCTGTCACCAGCAAATTGAGAAATAAATTCAATTGTGTTGAAAAAAATTGTTTTATTATTTTTTTACTTGGTTTTTCAGCAGTCGGATAATCGAAGAATCATCAGATTGCCTGGGGGGGATTGGAAATTCGGAAACCCGTCATCTTGCGGGTATAACGGTAACTCGATCTTCTCGGCCCTCTTCTGATGTTGACAGAACTGTTGGAAAACGTTACTCATGCCAGTAAGTCTGCAAGAACCAATATAGAAGAACAATCTTCTCACACGGTTACGAAGAAATGGTGACGAAATCGCGTCAACATTCCAATTACGTCACTTATACGCATCTATCTTGCGTATAACCACTGTATTTATTGATTGATCATTTCTTGGATTTTTGTTTCTATTGTCGCGTGTATTTCTGAGGATTGAGGAATATAGTGAGAGCGGAATGGGTTTTCTCAGAAGAAAAAAGATAAATTGGAGAATGTAGCTTGATAAAAGCTGGCTATATATAGATTCATATTTCTTCATTAAACATACTTGGACAGTACAATTGTGCTGCATGAAACATTGAATATTTGTCATAAATGAAAATGTTTTATGATAAGAATAAAGCAAGTAAATGGCTGAATTTTCCAAAATTATTTATTTTAAATTTGTGGAATGAATTTCATTTAATCTGCCATTTCCTTATGTGTTTTATCTGAATTGTTTTAAATATTATAAATAGCAGCTGATTAACCTATTACATTCACAAACATTTTAGGAATTTGTCAGTAAATTTGTTTACCCCAGTGTTATTTTGTGGCTGTCGAAATTTGCACAAGCTGGATTATGCTCTGCTTTGTGATTTTAGTTAATTGACTGATATTTGTTTTCATTGTAAAATTTTCAATTTTCAGCCTCAATTTCTAGCAAAACACTTTATATTTTATTTATTTTTCCCTAAAAATCCCCTACCATGTTCCCTGACAGATTTTGTGCTATTTTTTAAATTCAGTTTGAGCCATTTCTTTCTGTTCACTGCACCACAACTGAG